TTTTTTTTTTTTTTTTTTTTTTTTTTTTTTTTTCTGACCATGGTACTTGCAGAACATAAAAGAAACGGCTTACGTATTTTTACAAAATTAAAAACATAAATATTCCTAAAAATTTTTTATAACCCCTGAATATACGAAAAGAAAAAAAAATCAGATGATAAATATGCTTCCTATTTCATAACACCACCGTCAACATGGCATACATCACGTTTACCCAACCCATATGTAAAGGGCTGCTCAATGCTACAATCTTCACCAAAATATTGCAATTGCATTCATTTTTGTTACTACTCATCCATCAAGAGGATAAATGAAGTCTTCGCTCAGGCCTTAAAATAAATTATTAGAGCATAAACGAAATTACCAATAGACACTGCAATGAGAAACGGGGAGAGGAATCTAAATCAAAACACAAACCATGACCAAAAAAGCACTTTAAAGTAGCATAAATAAAAGAAATCAGCATCAATGAGCATAAATCTATCAGCAATTAGCATCCACAACTATAACAAGTAAAAAAAAAAAAAAAAAACTTTACCTGAGAAAGGCTTAAATGGTTCACCCCACGTGACTGGTGGCAAAGAAGCAATCTCAACCACCAAGCTTCCTTATATTGGCTTGTATGCTCAACAAACACCACCCAATTTCTTTTCTGGCGCGTGTCCATTTAAATCATCTTGTATCCCTAGACTGCTGTCATCTAAAAGGGTGGGCATGGTTTGTTTTTCCCAAAAACCCAAACTATAAAATCAGTTTGGAATTAAAAATAAAACTATATATTTTTTTCTTTTTTCTTTTTGTGGAAAACTTCAGTTTTGAAAGTGGTTTTAAAAGAAGTTTTTCTCCAAAAAACTGTTTCAAATTTCTACTTTTTTTAAAAAGTGGTTTTAAAAAAAAATAAGAGGGAAAATATACTATCCTCTATTTTTCAACATATCAATGATTTAGTTGTAAGCATCCAACTTTATACTACAATTACTGTTCTATCCTTTCATGGCCTACATACAAAAAAGGTCCTCTTCTAGTCAGTTTTGCTGTATCAAAGTAAATAAAATTAGGAAATACATCACATGTTCTGAACTTGGCCTTCTCTCAAAATGAGCCTCACACAACCTTTCAATAAAACTGTGAGACTTGTAATCTGTTGATAATTAGTAACTAACCAGCACTGATCGATCACACAATTACAATGAGGTTTCCAAGAGAGCATCCACTGACAGGTAGGATATGAACTTCCTGCTTGCCCACATTTCAGATCTGTTGCCTTCAATGTTAAACCATTTAACTAAACACTCTTGATGCACCAGTGCAAATTCACCTTTGCAGGTGCACACCATTATAAGGGTATCAACACCTTTCTCCCGATTCAAGCAGACAAATTCTGCAGGCGAATTCTTCAGGAATATCTTCCTACCTCGTTTACATCTGAACCAGAACTTCAGACGCACAAGATGGATATTGATAGAACTTAATCTGCAGACAAGAAAGGGAAATAAGAAAGGAAATGATAGGGAAAAATGAAAGCTTAACAAGAATGAATAAAGGTTAGTAGGGTGGTTGGTTCGTGGTCAGAATAAAAGTATTGCAATAAAGACAAAGGATTCAACAGTATAAACATCAAGAACTTCTAGGTTATAACACAGCATTAAAATTAATGGAAATAGGATAGAACTATTCTCGTTTCCAACATCAGGTATAAAAAGACAAATATGCATCAAGCCATCTGTAATTTCAAGTAAAAAAAAATGGCAATTGTGAATTGTGTTTGACATAAAGTCACTAGCCTAGAACTCAGGTTCA